TAATAATGAGCAGGAAGAGAAATGATTAATCAGGAGGTCAGTAAATAACGATTGACATTGCATTTAAATATTTGAAGATTAAAGTTGGCTGGAAAGCGTGGACCCTGGAGAGAGTTCTACAAGCATGAAGTGTGAGAAAAGAACCTGTTAAAATAGAACGTACGGCTACACCAACTGTAACTAAATGAGACCTTGCCGCCAATCTAGCACTGCGCTTAAATTCAAAAAGTCAAGGCCCTATAGCGAATAGCTCATCCGAACAATTACCATGAAAGTATTTATAGAAAAGACACGAACAGGCAACCTTACGTCGGTGGAAATTGACTGAAGGCGAGATGCCAGATCAGCACCAATAATATTGCTAATTCTTTGGATTTTATCAAAGAGTTCAAGGTAAAAAGCAGGGGAACCGGACCATTTGTGGCAGCAATATTCTAAGCAGGGATGAATGGTAGACTTATAGATATGTAACATGGATTCTGGAGAGAAAAATTGTCTTGCACGACACAGTGAACCAACTTTCTTAGCAGCTGACCTAGCAATGGATTGTCAGATGAGAACGTTATAGTATTTTCAAGAATGGACGAATGGCAGAATTAGATGAGAAGATTCTGGAGAGGAAAATTGTCCTTTCTTAGAAGGGATTTAATATATTCTAAGAACGTTAGCCAAGAAGGCACACGGACGAATGGTAGACTTATAGATATGTAAGATAGATTCTGGAGAGAAAAATTGTCTCATTTGAACCAACTTTCTTAGCAGCTGACCTAGAATGGATTTAATATAGTCTTTTTCACTTCATGTCAGAGAACGTTACCCTGAGAAGGCACAATATTCTAAGAATGACGAATGGCAGACTTATAGATATGTAAGATAGATTCTGAGAGGAAAATTGTCTCGCACAACCCAGTGAATTAACTTTCCTGGCAGCTGACAAATATATCAACTTTCGAATAACTGTGTTTCGCTTTCAATCGACAGATAAATTAAAAATCAAAATCACACCATTAGTAGCAGTCTGCGACGTTATTGTAAAATGTTCCCGAATATAGACATTGGGCTGGTGTTACTCCCGGTCGCTGAATATAGAAGTGGGTGAAATCACACCACTATACGGTATTTCAAGCATGAGAATAAGAATTTTGCGACAGGTCGATATGTTAAGATGAAAAAAAAAATATATAAATCGTTTATCAATCTAACATGTTTCACTTTTATTAAAACTTCACCTGAGAGCGAGATATGGAGAGAAAGAAGAAAGAAATTCTTTTTTTTTTTTTTTTTTTGCTTTTGTAACGTTCGCTTTTCATAATTTCTGGCGATGCGACTGTCCGAAGTTTCAAGAAATTAACGGAATCCAATGCACTTCTTCCTTCTTTGTTGCAGTGCGTGGAAAAAGATTTCATTATGCTGAAGTCTACTGGGGTACTGGTTCCTAGCCAACTTTTTTCATGTTGGGGAACAGATGATAGTTAGATGGGGCCAAATCAGGAGACCAGAGAGGTTAATCAACATGTTTAAAACCACTGTCACCCAAACCAGCCATTGAAAACAAAAACTTGAGTGTTGGAGCATTGTCCTGATAAGACAAATCTCCTTTCATCCTTTAGGGAACAGATGATAGTCATATGGTGGGCAATCGGGAGAATAAGGAGGATAGTCAACCAGTTCAAAACCACAATCAAACACAGAAGCATTGAAACCAAAGACTTGAGTTCTGGAGCATTTTCCTAGGTATTTTGTTTTGACTGCCTTTCAAGAATTCAATGCCAACTTGCCTCAGCATAGGACTCTTCATTAATAGTGTGGCACTTTTAAAGATAGCCAATAAACACAATGTCTATTGCATCCCAAAAGAACTGAGGCCATCACCTTCCAAGATGAGGACAACAGTCCAAACAATGTAAATAGTGTAAACATGTTTATATATGACAATGTATCCTGTCTTCCTGATTATTTATTCTTTGTTTTATTATATATATCTTTAAATATCTTTCAGGACATAGGCGATCATGACTCTCCAAACTTCCTATCCTTTGACAGACTTCCAGGAAATGTAGTTTACTAACCTCTTAGACAAATCAAAAAGTCGAATTATTCCATTGGCAGTAGCAACAGCCATAAAATGCTCACTGATATCCATGCAGATAGGCTGACCATCAATTTCGGTAAATTCAAGCACTTGTTTTACTGTACCCTACAAAACAAATGAGATGTGATTGATCAAAAATTTACATGTGTGAGATATTTTCGTTATTTTAGGCAAACTAATTTGATATTTATCTTTATAATCATGGGAAGAGATGATAGTCAGGTGGAGCCAAACCAGGAGAAGAGGGGGGTGGTCAACAAGTTCAAAGCCAGAGTTACACACAACAGACACTGGATCCAAGGACTTGTGTGCTGGAGCATTGTTCCCATAAAACAAGGCCTCTTCCATCAGTTTTCCTAGGCGTTTGGTCTTGATAACCCTTTGCAACCGCCTCAGAAAGTTGACATGGTTTAATAAGAAGAGTCGAAGTGAATGCATGTAAGATTTCATAGCTCTAGCATCACCCTGAATAGTCAGCTTATGAACTTTTCATCCGATCCTTATACATAGAAAGAAACAATGCAGTTATTATTAAGAAACGTTGAAATTAACTCATGCAATGATTTCACAGTTCTAGCATCACACCTTTATCGTCAGCCTATGAACTTCTCAGCTCACCTTCGTAACTAGAAAGAAACAATGCAGTTATTAAGAAGAAGAGTTGAAATGAATGCATGCAAGATTTCACACTTCTAGCATCACTCCTTCAGAGTCAGCCTATGAACTTTTCAGCCCACCCTCGTACTCGGAAAGAAACAATGCAGTTATTAATAAGATTTGAAATGAATGTATGCAAGATTTCACAGTTCTAGCATCGCTCCTTCATAGTCAGCCTATGAACTTTTCAGCCCACCCTCGTACCTGGAAAGAAACAATGCAGTTATTAATAAGAAGAGTTGAAATGAACGCAGGCAAGGTTTCACAGTTCTAGCATCACTCCTTCGTAGTCAGCCCATGAACTTTTCAGCCCATCCACGTTCCTAGAAAGACACAATGCAGTTATTAATAAGAAGAGTTGAAATGAATGCATGCAAGATTTCACACTTCCAGCATCACTCCTTCAGAGTCAGCCTATGAACTTTTCAGCACTCTTTCGTATCTGGAAAGAAACAATGCAGTTATTAATAAGAAGAGTTGAAATGAATGCATGCAAGATTTCATAGTTCTAGCATCACTCCTTCATAGTCAGCCTATGAAATTTCAGCCCACCCTTGTACCCGGAAATAAACAATGCAGTTATTAATAAGAAGAGTTGAAATGAATGCAGGCAAGATTTCACAGTTCTAGCATCGCTCCTTCATAGTCAGCCTATGAACTTTTCAGCCCTTCCACGTTCCTAGAAAGACACAATGCAGTTATTATTAAGATTTGAAATGAATGCAGGCAAGATTTCACAGTTCTAGCATGACTCCTTCATAGTCAGCCTATGAACATTTCAGCCCATCCACGTTCCTAGAAAGACACAATGCAGTTATTAATAAGAAGCCTTGAAATAAATGCATGGAAGATTTCACAGCTCTAGCATCATACTTTCATAGTCAGCCCTACTTAATAATAATAATAATAATAATAATAATAATAATAATGGCGTACTATGTCTTTACGGACTTTCTGAAGAATTTTCTCGTTTCAACTACCAAATGCGACCGTATTGCAGTCGAGGGAGTTAAACGGTAATTCGTAAACGAATCGTCTCTGTTCGCAGGTGATAGTACATTTGATATGTTGTTGCGCAGGTGACAGAGGCTGAGGGTGGAGAGGGAGGCAGGGAGTGTATTTGTCAGGAAATAATCAAAGAGGAGATATTTATCGACTCCACCCTCGACTCCCCCCCCACACTTCACTAGCCACGCCACCATCATCCGCATCTTCGACTTCGTTGGAAGAGAAAACCGACTAAAAGAAAAGAAAAAAAAATTGAAGTTCTATGAGAAAGACAACATCAAAGAGTCCAGACGACGACACCTGTTTCCAATCGAAATCTCTTCGCTCTAGATTTTCCAAAGAGAAAGAATGAACGTAACTCCGAAAAATCTTCGTAAGAGACTTATTAAATCAGACAAATCAACATCATCATCAGTTCCGTGACCGAGTGTGGTCGTAGGATCGCAATCAATATACATGGCGATATTTTTTTTTAATAGCACAGTATAATAGAGTCAGTTGGTTAAAGTCTTTGAGAAAAAACAACACCATGACTCAATTCACCCATTCTGCCTTTGAAGTTCTTTCATTCTAGTTGTGATTTAGAATACATTTTTGGCTATGGATACGAAGAAAAGTCCCAGTAAATGTGCTAATGCTAAGCATAAAGCTATATCGCTGAAAGATAAAGTGGGAATTAATTATTTTATTCCGAATGCTGTACGGACATATCATATATACTCTAATTTTCAATGGGGAGTTCTTACTTACGGTTTATAGTGGGGTTATTTTGACTGCAGTCGTTTTTCGACTTCAATTGTTACCATTACCAATTAATGGCGTAGGTTAATGTATATATTTATATATAATTCAGTTTATAATTGAGGACTATTATTTGGATTTTAAGGAAAATATAGAATAGAAAATTATTCTCAATTTTTCTTTTAAGTTTTTAAATTAGCTCCTATTTTAAAATTATTTTCTTTAAGTCATATCGTAATCAGCAAAAATATGTCATAATAACTTAATATTTCATTAATCGAATTCAAATCTGCTATCTTAATTGATGCAATAATTATGCTAGAGGATTTAAGATGAATATATTACACCATTTTGACGTTTTTAAAATGTTTGCTTGTATAATTGATATCGCAGAATAAAGAATTTCTTCATTTGGATTTCTGATGTTGTTTGTTTTGTTTGTTTGTTTGTTTGTTTGTTTCTTTCTTTCTTGCCTCAAAAAATTTTTTTTTTATCTTTCCAGCCGCAGATAATTCTTTCTTTTTAGACCCCGATTTTTTTTTTTTTTTATTTCTTTCTTTCTTTCTTTCTTTCTTTGTCTTCTTATTTTCTTTCGATTTTCTCTACCTGCTTTCTTTCTTGCTTTCTTTCTTTCTTTTCTCAGCTTCTTTCTTTCTCTTTTTGTGTGTTTGTTTTTTTTTTGTTTCTTTCAGGCTTCAGATAATTTTTTCTTTCATTCTTTGTTTCTTTTTTTTATTCTTCATTTCTCGCTTCGACTTCTTTCATTCATTTTTTTCTTTTATTCTTCCTTTCTATTATTCTCGGTTCAAATTCTTTTTTCTTTCTTTCTTTCTTCAGCTTCTTTTTTTTTCTCTCGCTTCAAATTCGTTCTTTCTTTCTTTCTTTCTTTCTTTCTTTCTTTTCCATCTTCTTTCTTTTTTTCCCTCTGCCTTCTTATTTTCTTTCGCTTTTCTCCACCTGTCTTCTTTCTTGCTTTCTTTCTTCTTCTTCCCTTCTTTCTTTCTTTCTTTCTTTCTTTCTTTCTTTCTTTCTTTCTTTCTTCTACAGTGCCTGCTTTCTTTTTTCTTTCTTCTTCTCCACCTTCTTTCTTTCTTTCTTCTTCTACACCTTCTTTCTTGCTTTCTTTCTTTTTCAGTATTTTCTTTCTTTCTTTCTTTCTTTCTTTCTTTCTTTCTTTCTTTCTTTCTTTCTTCTACTGTACCTGCTTTCTTTTTTCTTTCTTCTTCTCCAGCTTCTTTCTTTTTTTTTCTTTTTCTTCTTTTGCTTCTTTAGATTTTTATTATTTTTTCTTCTACTTATTTTTTTTTTTTTTTCTTTTTTCTTTCTTTCTTTCTTTCTTTCTTTCTTTCTTTCTTTATTTATTTATTTATCTTCCTTTTTTTTTCTTTTTTTCTTTCTTTCTTTTTTTCTTTTTCTTCTACTGTGCCTACTTTCTTTTTCTTTCTTCTTCTCCAGCTTCTTTCTTGCTTTCTTTCTTCCTCAGCATTTTCTTTCTTTCTTTTTTTCTTCTACTGTGCCTGCTTTCTTCTTTCTTCCTTTCTTTTTTTCTTTCTTTCTTCTTCGTGCCTGATTTCTTTCTCTTTTCTTGCTTTCTTTCTTCTTCCGAATTTTCTTTCTTTCTTTCTTTTTTCTTATACTGTGCTTTCTTTCTTTCTTCTTCTCCACCTTCCCTTTTCTTATTTTCTTTCTTTCTTTCTTTCTTCCTTTCTTTCTTTCTTCCTTTCTTTCTTTCTCGCTTTCTTTCTTTCTTTTCTTCTTTATTAATTTTCTCAAATATTTTTTCCCGTTTCTTATGCTATGAAATGATTCCATTTTTAATTGAGACCTCCTCACCGCTTTCCATCTTTAGAGCACATGATCTTAGCCATAATTACGTCGAACAGCATTCTACGAACGAATCACCATTCACAAGAAAAGCCGAATAAACACATCTTGAGTCCGGAGGAAATTTTACAGCAATTAAATCACGGGTAAAGGTTAATTGCTTGCCATTTTGAGAAAACGATGACAGTCGAAGCATCCAATTGAAAAGCAGTTCGTCGTACTGTTTGTCTTTGAGACCTTCTCCGCTCCATTGGCCAAATGTTGATCTCTGTTGACAAGAAAAGAATTCTTGTGGTTCTTCTATTAGCCTTCAGATAATCAGGAACTCTATTCTTGTTGAAAAATTGGAGTAGCTGGCCATTGTTTGCTTGTTTATAAACGGTTTTCAGCGCTGGAAAATATAATTAATGGTTGAGAGGCACTTTTTATTTGAAAGACGACACAACGCCGACGAGAAAGTGGAATTACGTCATATTCGGTCGAAGGAAAAAATAAAACGATATTTCAGTTAGAACGTGCATAGTATAACATACAGGTTCGAATCTAGCAATCTTTATTTCGTGTTCTCGTTGTTGATAAAGTGATCGAATAATTAAATTGTTTTAGTGGGCATATACTTAACGTTTATCAGAAAAAGAGTCGTCTTCTAAAGAATAGAACGATCAGCAGACGGGGACAATAAATTCTATATTTCAAGGATGATGTTAGAGAATGTAATATAAATGTAGAAAGTCGTATATTTTTTATCAATTCTCTCCAAGCAAGGCGATAACGCCACTAAGATGCAGGTAGCTATGTGTTGGGGCGCACCCACCTTCTAACTAGTAATGGACTGGTCCCTCTTATATAAGTCAGCTCTAGACAGAGAGTGACAGAGCGTCAGAGAGAGAGAGTCAGCGTGAGCAGTCCAGATAAGCTTACCCGGTACATACCGTTGGACTATAGACTTTGGATATTGTTTCATACTAACCAACCTTCATTCTACTAATCACTCTATTGTTAATTGCTTTTATGAATATACCAGTATTTTCCTCTACAACTGTGTTTGTCTTGATTCATACATTCATACACGCGGGAAACTCACAACATCTCAACACTATGGGACGTCAAAAACAATGAAAAAACTTCAGAAAGGATCAAAAACCAACCCTAAACAAGGAACAAAGGATAAATCTCTACTCTTGTTAAAAAAGAACGGAGAGGAGTATGCAATGGCGGTTAACCTATCTACTCCTATTGATGGAAAAATATAAATAAATAGTAAACAATATTTTCGGGTTTAAACGGAGATGTTAGAAGTATAGAGTCGAAGATTTTAGGAGGAATCAGAAAATTTACAAATACAGAATGGAAGTAGATTTTAGATGGAATCGCAAACCCAATCCTAAACAGGAAACAAGGGATAAACCTATATTCCTGTTCAAATGGTTGAGAAGGATATGAACACGGCGATATGAGAACCAATCTACTCTTATTGACAGAAAAAAAATAAATAGCAAAGAAAATTTTAGGGTTTAGAGGGAACTGGAAACTCAGTCCTGAACAAGAAACAAGGGATAAACCTCTACTCCTGTTCAAAAGACCGGGAAGAAGTGAGAAACGGGCAATGGGTGAACCTATCTATTACTATTGGGAGAGAAGAAAAATAAATTATTATTGAATAAAATTTCAGATTTGAGTCAGAGACGTTACAAATATAAACCTAGTCCTAAAAACAAACTCAAGTCCTGAACAGGAAACAAGGGACAAACCTCTACTCCTATTCAAAAGTGTTGTGGTTTCCTCCCTCCAAAAATCTATGTTAGACTCTTCCACCTACTATAAGTTTAGTAGTAGAGAAAACTTCGGAGGGTAGTCGACCAGCCAGTTCATTTCTGTTGAACTCTCTGCCTCGGCAGAGAGGAACACGGACGAAGCTTTGCTGCAGGCCAAAGTTTCGTCCGGGGAGGTAAAGAGGCCCTGAACCCGTCTAGGCGGGTTCAAAGGGAATATTTTTGGCTGAGCCTACGGGCCCGGAGAAACGCACGTTAAACTCGGCTTTGTGCCACATACATTCCTTGTGGGGGGGGACTGTTAAATATAACAGTCGAACAGATCTGTTCGCATTGTGCTGTCGAACTCTCTGCCTCGAGCAGAGAGGAACCCGGACGAGACTTTGCCGAAGGGAAAAGTTTCGTCCGGGGTGGTAGACACACCCTGAACCGGTTTATGCGGGTTCAAAGGGAATATTTTTGGCCAAACCTACGGGCTCGGAGAACCGACGGTAAACTCGGCCCTGTGCCACATACATACCTCGTGGGGGTGCTGTTAAATATTAACAGTGAATAGATTGAGCGCTAGTTAATTCGATACATGTCATGTAATACTCTTCTGGTGTACTTACTGTTTAATATACGATATAACTGCAAACCTGGTTTTTGTTATTACATAACCATTTACTTGGTCACAACAAAAAGACAGGGGAGGAGTGTGAACCGGTCGATAAGTGAACCTATCTATTCCTATTGGGATAGAAGAAAAAATAAGTAATTAGTGAATAAAATTTCAGAGTTTAGTCGGAGACGTTAGAGAAGTAGATTGGAAATAGATTTTAGAAGGAATCGGAACCCCACTCCTAAACAGGAAACAAGGGACACACCACTACTCCTGAACAAAAGACAGGGAATGAGTGAGAACAAAGCGATCGGCGAACGTATCTACTCCTATTGAGAGAGGAGAAAATAATAAAAAATTAATGAATAAGATTTCAGAATTTAATGGGAGAGCTAGCCGCTCGCGGAGCTCTCATCTTGTTGAACTCTCTGCCTTCGGGCAGAGAGGACCCTAGACAAGTCTATGCTGCAGGCCACATAAAAATTAGGCCTTGTGCCGTTACCTTACCTAGAGGGGTGTTTGGTAAATACCTCTTACTCGGAGACGTTACAAATATTGATTGGAAGTAGATTTTAGAAGGAATTGGAAACACGATCCTAAACAGGATACATGGGACAAACCTCTACTCCTGTTCAAAAAGCCGGGAAGAGTGTGAACTACTCCCCGTATACATAATTGCCATAGGCAACACATAGCATTTGATAAAATACGACAGGAATATGATAGAGAAACTAAGCAAGGTATTAAGGAAGAGAAAATCGTTCTTAGAAACAAAGAAATTAATGCTAAAGTACACATGGCACAGTGGATAAAGGCGTTGGTTAGATCCAGTGATAGGACCCAAAGAGTGCGAGTTCAATACCCGGCTAAGGCAGTGGAGAACTTGGAGAGGAGAATTAACAGGAGATAACTGGCATCCATTAAAAGCATGGCACGTGGAACTAGAACATACCCCAGTGAGCGAAATAAAGGGTTCAGTTCGACATTCCATCCACCTGAAGAAGGCTGGAGCGTACAACGGCCGAAACGTTATAATAAATATGGCGACAAAGATGAGGACAATAGTCCGAATAATGTAAATAGTGTACATAATACCTCATCTCAGAAATATAGACAGATACTGAAGGACCGAAACGTTGTGATAAATATGGCGACAAAGATGAGGACAATAGTCCGAATAATGTAAATAGTGTACATAATACCTCATCTCAGAAATATAGACAGATACTGAAGGACCGAAACGTTGTGATAAATATGGCGACAAAGATGAGGACAATAGTCCGAATAATGTAAATAGTGTAAACTGCTGTTATATAACAGTTCTCCTCTGTGGCAGTAAATGCTGGGCAATCTCTCAGCTATGGGTTAATTACTTATAATTATCTAAAATATCTTCTGTTAAATAATACTTAATTTGAAAAAAAATGAAAATTTATTGTACTAAGCAACGCACACTAGTAAAACCAAATGTACCCATTTATCTGTTTGTACTTCTCCCCAAATTTGTCTTCGATTGGACAATATATGGCTATTTTAAAGGTTGTGACAGACGGACTAACGGAAATCACAGAGCTTTATATATAGATGTTATATTTAAAACTTGGGAATTTTAAGAAAACTAGAAGATCCCCTCACTGATTGACTATGTCTTAAGAGGGTCAGCCGTACTCACTACGCTTGGTTAATTACGGGTTGGTGAAGCTAATTGGTTTTTTTTACAGTTTGCTTCCCTTAAACTGTTATACTAGCGAAGGTTATCGGAACCTATTCCAACATAGCTGGGGAGAGATAAGTGATAGATTCGTATCTTTCGACTGCAATTCGAATACTGAATTAATACTTAATAATAATAATGATTTTCAGATACTATTTAACCCATAGCTGAGGAGAGAAAAAATGGATTCGTATTTTTCCCAGTGCTATTTGAACGTAAGTTAATGTAACGAACTCAACCGAGAATTCGTACGGGGCTCCTCGATCCGTGACTCTAAAAAATATTTATAGAAAAGACAGAGGGAAGCCACATAATGGAAGACATAACGCTTAAATTGAGTATTAAAAGCAAGGTACGTAAATTGATAGCTTATTCAGCTAAAAGTAGTATCAAAAAATTCCCCGACTGAATGACTTCAATTCAAGAGCCATAAACTTTTTGAATTATTACGTCAGGTTCTATAACGTTGTGTTTCATAATGAAGGCATGAACACAAATCCATTTATAGAGCAAACCGGTGATACATGCTATACTAAGGCTGAGCGGACCTTAGTTACGCTCTCTCGGGGAAAGCGAAAAATGTGGTCAGATTAACAATGAGAACAAGGACGGTTTATGGTTTATTGTGTTTTACGGCACATCAACAACTCAATGGGTTATTTAATGCCGACAAGATTTTTACAATAGGTTCCTATAAATAGAATATGTATTCTTTGTAAGAAATCAGTTTGTAGATCAGGGTTCATTGAAGTATTTTCATAAAGACGGTTTTTGTATAGAATCTGGTTTTGTTTATTTGGTTTTACGGCATATCAACATCTCAATGGGTTATTTAATGCCGACAAGATTTTTAGGATAGGTTCGTATGAATGGAATATGCATTCCTTGTAAGAAATCAGTTTGTAGTTCCGGTTTCATTAACGTAATTTCGTAAAGAGGGTTTTCGTCGAAATTCTGGTTTGGTTTATTTTGTTTTACGGCATATCAAACTCAATGGATTATTTAATGCCGAAA